TGTGAACTTAACTGCTGCGCCACCGGGCCGGCCCCTGATATTCCCTTATCTTATGTGCCTCTAATATTATGCTTAACATATTTCTTTACTGTTATCAGGTTTTTTTTTTCACTTGTAGGCAGAGTCTTGGTCTTTGAATGTGTATCACCCATGCCAAACCCAATGTCTTACACACCCATGCCATATAGATTTGTTTAATGAAAGAATAAGCTTCCTTTACAAATATGTCCAAAAGCTATCCTTGTGATTTGCTGGTAGAATTTTGGTAAATGTTTAGCCAAATTTTCCAGTGTATTGTTCTTTATTGATCAAATGACTAGATGTCTGCTAAATTTTGACATCAACTTGAAACTATGCAGCTATGTTTTTCTCTGACCTTGAAGACCCTTGAAATAAAAAAAGGAATATGTAAAATAGTTATACTAAGAGAAACATAAGAAAGCATGATATTCACAGTTAATATAACTAGCACTAAATACTGTTCTGTCCACACTTTTAAATTCCTTATGTAGTAAGAGTAAGGTAATAGTTTGTGAATTAAATCCCCCTTCCACACACACACACACACACACACACACACACACACAGAGCTAATGACTGACATTCTTACTATCATTTCCAAAGATTTTGAGCAACACATTAGCCCAAAGATAATAAAAAAGAATAAATTCTAAACCCATTAGGGAGAAAAATTACCTATGGAGCTGGAGCTGATCTGATATACCCAGCAAAATTGGGGACAGCAACTTGAATAATGATCCGGAAGACTGACAGAGTGATTGATAGACTTCTATAAACCCATGGGGAGTGGAGAGGATTTCTTTGCTCTCTGTCTGGTGTCGCAGCAACCGGCATGATTCCTTTAATCTGCTGCTGAAGTGTATTAGAATATATGATGAATTACCATGGATTTTTCTTCCTTTTCTCACTGTTGGTTTTATAAAAATAGGGAAAATACACTATTAGACATATACATTAAACCGTCATCTTGTATTTAATAATTATCTCTTTTCTCAGTGATTTCTTTACTTATTATCTATCACTCCTCACCAGCTTAGTGAGTTTTATTTTGTTCTGCTTAAAGAGCAGACACTTAAATAGTCGCTCGGAGCATCTATTACCCTATTCTTCACCCTTCCCTTCACAATATCACTAACAACCTTAGTTCTTCAGAAGCTGTGCGTCGAGTGGATAGAAGAACATTCCTGGACTGACTTTGCTGCTCTGTGACCTAACAGTTGGGTGACCTTGGCCAAGTCACTTACCTTTTCTGCATTTTCTCACTTGTGGAATAAATACCCTGCAGTATCCTAATGAAGACTGAATAATGCTGCAAGCAAATCAGCTGGAACTCTGTAAGCACCCAGAAGAGTTAATTCCTTCCCTGTTCATAAGTATAGCTCTTTTGCTGACTGTTTTTGGATTGTTTATTTTTTATTATAATGGCAAGCAAGGAGAAAACAGAGATTATATTTGAACCCTAATTTTATGTATGAAGAACCATAGTTACTAGCCCAAGTTCACTTAGCTAGAAAGGCCTAGAGACAACAATCTTAGATTATAGATTTAGATTATAATCTGGGTAATATGGCTCCTACAATTCCTAGAATTTTAGATTAATAAAGGGGAATAGTGGGAGGAAACAAATACATTTAGGTGCCTACTCCATGCCAGGTTTTGTGCCAAGCACTTAATTTCCATGATTTTATGTAAGCCCCACCACAACCCTAAAAGGTGGATACTTATTTCAAGAGTAAATTTAGGCTCATGGAGGTTAACTTGTCATTGCTCACCTAGCCAACATGTGGTGGATTTTAGATTAAAGTCCAAGCAACAGTGACCTTAACATCTATATTCTTTCTATCTTATGATGCTGCCTTTTGTGTTTGGAGGGATCTTAGGAATAGTTTATGTCAACCTTCTCCTTTTAGATGAAGTTTGGTCTAAGGAAATCAGCTTATTCAAGGCAAAGACAAAATTGTCTTCTCAAACTTTGTCTCATATGTGTTCACTCATTTTTTTTTAACTTTTATTTGACTTATGCTTTCTTATAACCATATTTACATATTTCAACCATTTTTCTTTATCTCTAAAATCCCTCATTATTTTTGAGCATACATGTCCTAAATCACACTTTATATCAAGAAGAGATCACTGGGTTCTAGCTCTCAGTTGACCTCCAGTATCCAGTAACATGTAACTCAGTGTCTTCAGCTCCTTCTTATATTGCCTTTAATTGTGAAGAATGCTAGTGAATTACTTTAAAGTACTCTGTCAAGAATTGTGACAAAAGTGATCATAGCTGCATATATTTAATAATAGCCTTGACAGAACCTCTTAAAACTACTTCAAGTATATTATACAAAGAAATATGATGGTTATTTAAAAATATATATGTATATATAATTCATTCTTTTTATCAGAGAGTCTATATTTGCCAGAGAGTCTATATTTTTTAGTTGCCCCATCAAAACACTTCCATTTTTTTCTTCTATGTTATGTTTTTTGAATTTCCAAAAACTATCAACCTTTTCCGATCATCTACTCTTTGGCCTGAGTACCTTAGGAATCCTCTAGTTCTTCAAAATAATAGCCAAGTTTTAAATGTGGCCCTCTTCTCAGATATGTGAAATATTGTTATCATAATGGCCGACATAGATGACATCATTTTACCATCATAATAGAATTGAGAATTCTTAGTTCTGTCAACATAAAAGTGGCACTAGAAATTTCATTATTTATAGTAGGCACAAAATGGATATAACCAAACACATTTCAAAGATTATACCTGATCTTAGGATGTCTTGAAACAATGACATCTTTGGTAATTCCTTTATGATAGATAAAACCTTGCAGGAATATACGTGGCCATGAGTAGAAAGCAAGTTTGCTGTCATTGAGACTGGAAGCTATCAGCATCGATAACTTTTTGTATGTAGCCACTCAAGACTCCCCACACCATCTCTGCTGTAAAGACACCCCTTGCAGCATTCTTACTTCTTTTTCCCATTCACTTTCAGGATATATAATTGACTCTCGCATAAACTCCACTAGACAAAGTAAGGTATTCATTCAATATGACTTTTAAAATTAATGATAAAATACAAACTGAAATGCTGAGGACTCAGTAAATACTGTCCTTTCCTCTGTCTCTCATAAATTTTAGTGCAATGAATTCTTCAGTAGCACATTTATCAGTGCCCCAGCACACAGTGAGGGCAGGGAATCAGTACTAAGCATTATTTCTTTAGAATGGGTCTTGCTCAAGATATAAGTTCAATACATGGTGACTGAATCAGTCTGTGTATGGTTATAGCACTTCATTCATCTATATGTGGGTATATAAAGATCTATATATGACTACATGTTAATGCTACTGAAAGTACTTGAATATACTCCCTTCAATAGATATTTAAGCTTATTCTAAGAAATAATACATTATGGATTAGTTAGGATATCACTTTTATTTTCAACGATGATCTTTTATTTATTTGAACAGAGGTCTATTTATGTCAAAACTTTATATTTATGTAGCTGCATTCAAGTTTCAAGTTAATTTCACAAACATTCCCCATTTGATCTTTCTAATATATCTGCAGAAAAGAAAGGTAGATACTAGTATTCTTATTTTACAAGTAAGGAGAGGAAGATTGAAGTAATTTGAACCCATCTGTTTATTGGTGCTAAGGCAGTGAATAGTTATTTTTGCAGCAAGTTAATCTCCCAAGTATTTACATTTAGAAAATTCACCAAAATATTTTTTATATATAAACACATGTGCTTATTCACTATGTCACTGAGTGTGTATCAGAGAGGTGAATTTTGGATCTTTCCAGAAGGTTCTTTTCTAAATGGATATGTAATATCGTTATTGTAGAAATCAGCAATAATTTTTTTTTCCGTAGTATCAATCTCCTTCCTTCAGATTCTTTGTGCTGAGATAACACAGCATCCCTCTTGAGTCAGGACACAGTCGTTGCATATTCTGTGAAGAAGATATAAGCTGCGGACAAATGAGAGCCACTGCTGTTTTATCTGGCTTCTTAGAGATAAGCACTCTAAGGTCAAGATAGGTTTTTATGCTCCTGTGCTCTTTATTAATTGCTTTAAATTATGATAAGAGGTCAAAGCACACGGGTCCTTCTAAGTTATTTCGTAATTATTATATGTATCTGCCTGTGTGTGTGTGTGTGTGTGTGTGTGTATGTGTGTATACATAGAACATCTCAGAGGAAAAAGGCAGAAAAAAAAGTACTATATATAATGAATTCAGAGACAAGAAATGAGAAAGGAGATAAGATTCTTTGACAGCCAGACTGGTATTTATTAAAGTACTGTTTGTGGCCATATTAGAGGCAGTTTGTCAGTTTGAAGAGCAAAAATCCAAAATCCATAAAACTGTTTTTGTTCACAGCCTTAAACAAATCTGAAATGTAAGATTAATTCTTATTTGCATAGAAATCCCATTATTCATGCAATTAATAATAATTATGTTCTCTAAAGTTATGCATGTCCTTTGAAGGGCTGCATTGGTTTGTTTGTCTGCAAATATCTAGCTAATAGGATCCAGTTTGTCTCACCTAATATATTTTCATGCTACTCATAACATTATTAAATTTATAATTTTGTTTTTATGCTTGTGCTGCATTATATCCCCAATTCTCAAAAATGGACTCATGACTAAAAAGTGGTTCACTGAAGCATAAAAAGTAATGAAAAGAGTAACATAAATAGTACAACTCAAAATAACATCATAAGCAAAAAGTGAACTGGTCTCCAGTGGTGAATATGGAATGCAAATCTGTATATGCTGGGACACATAAATCTGCAAGTGTCATGATTTCACATATGCAGTGGGAAAAGAAAAGTGCAAATAAGAAGTACATTTATGAGTATCTTAAAAAATTGAATTATATTTGACTGGAGATTAATTTACTGCTATTCCCCAGTTCATTTTCTGTTATAAAAACTTGTCAAACAGGGGCGTGACATTCTGGCAGGAGTATTTCTTGAAGGATTAATGGAGGCATTCCCTCTGCTTCCTTGTGAGGTCACCAGCTTGTATTCTGAGAGGTATCCTGTCTCCTAGACTGCATGAATAAGGGAACTCCCTCACTTTAGAATCATCTACAAAAAGTCTAAGATCATACAGAAAGAGAAGAAAAGAAGAAAGAAGGGAAGAAACGGAGAGGGGAGACAAGAAAAAGGAAGGAGAGGACTGGGAAGGGAAAAGAAAAAGGAGGTCAGGAAAGGCAGGGCTTGAAAGCCCCTGATCTTGTCTGAGGAGTAGGTAGAAAATGCCTTCATTTTAGGCTCCAGAAGCCTGCATGGATCCTGGCTAACTGCTGAGCTATTGTTTTCATTTCCCATGAAGAGATCTGCCTCCAGGTAAACTCCAGTCCTTTGATTTGAACATCTAGTTGCAATGAAACCGTCCTGTAAGCTAGAGGTGATACCTAAGTTTGTGTCTCATTGTCTGTGTCTGACCCACCATCCTTTGGTTCGAGGCACTTTCTAAGCTCCCCCAAGAGAGGGGAGTTTAGATACTAGGTTTCCTGGTAGGGTGGTGGTGGTAGTGGTGGCACTCTCTCATTGCAGGGTCGGGGGTGAGGGGAGCTGGAGACAATAAGCTGGAAACTATCATTTGACCTGGGGCATCTGTGAACATAGGGTTCCTATTTTAAAGCCATTGATTCTTTTATTCTTGACCTGGTAAACTAAGGGAGATGCTTTTTATAACATGCATAAAATAATTTCCGTGCAGTAAAACTGATTAATTTTGTAGCTAAAGTTCAGAAGAGACCAAAAGTAGGGGAAGTATTTAAGGTTTTATTCTTAATAGCAAAAACAGCTTAGAAAACTGTACAGCCAACTGCAATATTAATGAGAACTATGCTCACGGAGAAAGCAGAAGAAGCTATTGTTAAAAATCTTTTATTGAATGATATTTTAGAATGAGCCATAATATTAATTATGTATTAAAGGAAGACGAGTAATTACTACATGGTAGGTGCCTGCAGATATTTTGCTAAACAATTGAATGAAACCAACTGTGCAGTCTATGAATAAATTCTTGGCTTATGCACAGTATGGATATGAGAGAATTGCAGTTGATGATTTTTATTCTGCTTATCAATGAGGACCTTGCACTATAAGATAGGAGATTTTTTTATTTGATTACCACTTATTTTGTGGCCTTGGCCTTTGTGGTTGTGGCCTTGCAAGGAGAGTTGGGAAAAAGGAGAAGAGTTATTCTGTGAACCAATTTGAGTGGACTTTAATACTAATCTACATATGATTTCATTCACAGTGAATATTTTGTGAATATTGATATGCCTCCCAACTTCAATTTCATGTATCAAGAAACAGTAAAAATGTGAATTCAGTCCCATCATGGCTACTAAATCTGTCGCTTAATGAAAAAGTGGGTAGTGAGTTCCAGAATTTTCTTTTTCATATTAATGTACTCCCTCTGTGCTGGGTAAGGTAAAAGCCTACATGACTTTTTGAAATTCTTGTTGATGTTAATACACAACCCTAAATATTGACCCTAAATATTGTCTCTAAGTAACATTCACATATTTCAAGTAACTTCCTCAGTAGCATATCAACCATATATATTGAGAATGTTAAATTACTTAGGCCCACCCTTCAAAGCTGAAATAACAAAATGTTTAATGTTGAGGATTAGATATCAGAATTTCTTAAGTTGATTGTGCAGCAAATTCTTCACATATGATATTTTGATTAATTTCCTTTCGGTTGAAAACATTTTTCACTTGTTGAAGAAATACATCAATGAGATAATATTAAGTGAACTTAAGAAATCACACTAAAACACAGTAAGAGAACATACAGACAAGAAATCTAGAATTGAATCAAACTAGAGTAGATTAGGAATTCATCCATTGATCTTCAAAGATGCAGGGTACATATCCATTACTCTCATCTTTAAAATTAATTTAGAAAATAAATAATTTTAAACTGAGTAGTTATAAGTCCTTAGCTAATTTCATTTAGCCATTATTGAAGCCAAAAGTACTCCTAATGTTTAACATTAATGCTGATATCTTATCCACTAACTGCCTGTCTTGTTGAAGACTCCAGACTTCAGAGAGGGGAATAGTAGAGAGGAGGAGCAATTGAACAATAGGGAGTTCTTGGTCCAAAATCCAGCCATTATTGAGATAGGTAACAAAATCATCTCCAGCTTCAGGAGCTGCCTTAGAACCAAACCCCAAGGCCTATGAACTCATAGTGAGTGCTGTTCCATTCAGGGCCAGTGGGGCTGGCCTGCAAAGTATTTGTTACAGGCATATGAGAAGATAAATACAGAAATTGAGAAGAAGAGTTCGGAATCTCTTACAGTAATTTGACGACCTATTGCATCCAAGCATGTGATCAGTGGACTCACTTCACTGAGCAGGTTTAAGGCTAGTTTGGGTGAACTTCATCTTGTGGAGTGAGTCGACGTGGGGTGAGATGTTTACATGCAATAGGATCACAATGCAACACGTGGTATTTTAAAGTTAGTTTGTAAAGAATAACTCAAAAGGATGTGAATATCAGAGAAAACATGTCATTTGTTTATTTTTTATGCTTTGTTATTTCTGCATCATTTTGTTTTAATTAAGCCTGGCTTTTAATTTGTAGTTTAACAGTATTAGGTCAAATAAGGAAGTGATATTTATATTATTTATTGTCACTCGTAATTTACAGGTGATGAAACATTCTTCATTGAACTACTTTTTCAAGAAAAGATAAAACTTTTCTAAATGTTGCAGAATGGTAGTGTAAAAAAAAACCCTGAACTTCGGTAAAGACAATCTTTATTTAAAAGGACAATTGCCATAGTGGGAAGAGGGCTATCGCAATAGGGAGAGGGAGATTATTACAACACAGAGAACCTTCTGACCATAAGATCTGCAAGTCTCCAACATCAGGCAGAAAGGAATTTTCCTTTTATAGGGATGAGTAACAAGACTAGAAAGAACTGAGTGTGGAGGAGGGGAATGAATGGGTGTTGTGATGATCGGACAGTTGATCAGAAAATGTCCACCTTGAGATCAGGGATTCTTGATTCTCCGTAGGGGCTGATATGAAAGGGTTGGTCCACATTCTGATGCTGGCTCAGGCTGGCCATGGGTCAAAATTTAGTGCAGTTCAGTGTGCTCTGAAGAGAGGAGAAACTTAACTAAACTTTACTCAAGTAAAGTTAGTGGGTATTTTGTCCAGATTGGTCAGAAGTATAGATAGTTCCGCTAATCATGGATGAGATTAAAAAATGGGAATTTAGAAGGTCTGTGTTTAGCCTTGTCACAGATAAACAAGACAGGGGCATTCTTGACTCATCTAAATCATATGAGAAAGAGTGGTTCTTTGCAGTAAGTTGTCTTACAGAAGCAAAGGATGAGGGGATTTCTTAACAATCTCTGTTTTCCAGGAGCACAGGGCTCAGGTGAAGTTTAACACTGTCAATTCCCCTACTTGCCTAAGCCAAATGAACATCATTCATTGCTGAACAACTCAGAGGTGATTGTAAACCAGAGTGGAGCAAAGCAGGTTCTGAGAAATAGGCTCCTGAGGACTCTCGTTGAATTGTTCCTGTAAAATCAGTTAAATCATCTGTTGAGAGGTGTGGCAAAGGTAAGTTGTGTTGGGTTCAGGCATCTTAAAAGAGGGGGATGTATAAAATTAAGAAGAGAAATATTAATGTAAAAGGTTGTATTAAAGAGTCAAAAGTTGAACCCTGGAAGATAACCAATCTGGTGAATCCCAAGAGTTTGGTGGATAAAGATCTTTCAATTATGCACCACTGCTCCTTGAGTTTCTTGAAGCTAAGATGTTGATGTACCTGGTGATGTTGTCCAGTTATCTCTCCTATAAGGGCATGCATGACCTGAGCATTTTACCAGACTTCCTTGATGACCCACGCAGCATATTGTCCAGGGAGAAATCTGGGCCACGCATGTTCAACTGTGGTGACGAGTCCTTCAAGGTTGTCAAGTCTTCAGAATTTAGCTCATAGTATTTTTTTTATATGTTGGGAGAAAAGGCCCACTACAAAGTAACTCAGAGTCCAGATAAGGATCTGATTAGTTAAGTTTTAGTTCTTGATGACATCAAGTTAGGAAGGAGGGAGGAAAAATTGGGAGTGTTAGTTGGGGTTATAACCAAATGTTCATGGAAATTGGAAGAATTGAAAATATTGTTAGGGTTGACAATGCATGGCAGATAAAAGGATACAGTCCAGTTTACATGTAGGAGAAAAACTTGTTTTTCATACCCATCAGTTACTTATAATTTGCAAAGTGGTGCAAAATAGCTCAAAAACAATTAGGCCCAGAATATGATAACTCATATGGTTGTGCTATAGTTTTCCACTGAAACACAAAATTTCTGTCTGTAATCACTCTGCTTTTGATTAAAGATGATGTCAAAGATTATTCTAGATCATAAATTAGGGCTTCTTTCATTAGATTTGGCCTTTTATTTATGTAGATGTAGTGAGAATGGTGATTCACCCTTATAGGGCTTTTTCAATATACTTTCTTGGAAATTTTCATAAGAAATCTCTGATTGGGGTTTTGAGATCCTCTTGAGGCCAGGAAGCCAAGCCAAGACCTTGCCATCAGATTTCGCCCACACTACCTATAGATTTGGGTGAACTTCTCTCTTCTTGAAGTCCCCCAAATATCCTGTTTCCTGTGCCTATAAGGAAATGATTTCCCTTACCCGTAAGGCTGGGAGCTCTGTAAATTAAATACTTCACTAGTCGTCCTAACAGGGCTTTGTGAGCATTGCCTCCATAAAGCCAACTTTAACTTCTTAAAAGTGTCTGGTCATATCCGATCGAAAGAATTAATCTCAAATATGACATTTGAGTCAAAACTTTGGTTTATTACCAATGTTTCCAATTATGTCTTGTTAACAAAGAAGACAGATTCTTATTGAAACTAAGCAAAATTATATTGCCATGAAAAGAATATTAATCACTAAGAGTTTCCAAAATCTGAGGGATCCAATAAAGAGAGAAGGATAAATGTTTCATTTCTGTTTACAAGAGCATAGTCTACTAAATCGTTAGGGGTTATAGAGATCATAGGAGAAAAGAGAAAGGTGTCCCTTATATCCAGAAAAGAGGATATTAAAGTATAAGCAACATTCCAAGCAAAACTCATAATCATCTTTCATCGGTTCATTCATTCCTATGTAATTAATTCATGTTCTGATTGATTCAAGGTTAACAGTCTCAAGAACACATTTGCTCATACACTAGAATCCTGGAAATCTTGACTCAGGCCAATGGTTTGATCTCAAGGTTATTCAAGCAATGCCACCTGAAGCCTATGCCCAAGAGTACCTGGTAAACTCACGTTCGAAGCATCTCTGAGACAGTTTTTTTGTGAAGGCAAAGAATTCTGATCTGAGCTGATTTGAAAGTACTTTCAGGGAAGCATGAGAGTAAAATAAAAAATGTGCAGATGACAAAAGATTTAAAATAGTCATAATTAACTTACTATTAATAATTTTCAAAAATGAAAGCTAATGAAAGTTCGTTATAAAAATATTGCAACTGACAAGCAAATTTGCTTGTTTTGTGGCATGCAAAACAAAATAAAACCAATCAAAAATCAAAGTGAAAATAAAATATTTTAAAAGTATAAATAAGATGAAACATGATCACGAATAACCTTAGCACACAAGTGAGAAAACCTTGTTTTCTACAGTAATTAAGGTCATGATAAAGTAAAAATAAACACAAGGAACTATTCTGATATGGCAGAGAATTTTTTCCTTCTATGCAAATTATTCAGAAGGCAAAGATATACCTTTTATAACCTCTTACTAAGAGCTGACAGATAATTCAAGAAAATTTGTCATTTTAGTAGAATGAAAAACATATTCTAGTTGTGCATTAATATACTATTTTATACAAAAGCCCTTTTCAAAAAATTCTTATAAATAAACCATCAACCCTTGATAGCTTTGAGCATACTAAATAAAATTGCCTTTCTGTGGGACTTCTACAAGTTTCTATACCCATTCAGGTTTTGTCCTATGCTTCCCTATTTCTCATATGGAACAACTAATCATTTTACTTTAGGACTAAACCCCTTCCTTTCCCTTAACAAAAACACTTCCTGCATACTTTGCATAGAAAGTTGTTCTTCCCTGTCACTATTTCTTCTAGCAGAGTCTGATTAACATGTATTGATTATAAATTTTAACTATATTAATTTCTATTTCACAGAGAAAACCATAAAGTGGATTAACTGTGAACTGTGGCATTTTGTAATAGAGCTTAGGAATATACATCTCCTAAATTTTTATAACCACATATGTCCTCATAATATAACTTGTCTATGTGACCAAAAACAAACACATTCTTAACAGACCTAAATACATAGAGCCTTAAAATTAGGCTTAGTAATTTATGTTTGTGTTTTATCTTACATATAAATGATTTAGGTATTTAAAGAACAGTGATTAATTAATCTAATTTAATGTTAGTCTAAGATTTTAAGTTACCAAAAGATCTTGGAGATTATATCCTCACACTGACATACCATAAAACCTAATTACTGTTGAAATAAAGTTTGTCAAAATAATGGTTCAGTTTGATTAATCATAAACTTACATTTTTCATAATCTTAAACATCTAGTAGATGTAAGTGTGTGTAATTTTAAGAAGAACATACCCAAATAAAAAATATATATATGATTGTATTAGCCTTAATTTCTGGGAATTTTAGGAATATTCAATTTATATAAGCATTTATTACACTCTGGTTTCTCTTCAGACCGTATAAATCTTTCGCCCTTTACTAAAGCATTTATTTATCTCTAAGCCAATCAGAATAGAGTTCCTTTAAGAAATGTTGTAATTTAATTTGGTAATACCATTCAGAGTTAGGAAAATATTACGCATACATAACATACATACATGCATACTGTGTTAGTCTGCTCAGGCTGGCAGAACAAAATACTCTTTGTGGTGACCCTGTCCACACCGCTCTCTGTAGGGGCCTTGTCCCTGGAGCTCTTTCAAGGGGCAGCCCCGCCCGCTGAAACCAAGGAGGTGGTTCCACCCTCTGAAATGGAGGAGGAATCAGCCTTGCCCTCTGGGTCTGTGATGGCAGTGGCAGCCCTAATAATCTCTGAATTCCCTTCAGAGTCATTCTTCACTCATTTAAAGGATACCTCATACATGTTCACAACTGGATAACTTCACGGACCTGTCTTGTAGAATCCCAGAAGTCTGACAGTCTTCCTTCATTCTGCCTTGTTTTCTCTGTCCCCTATCGTTCCAGCTGGCGGAACAAGTGTTTTGCTGGTATAATCCCATCTCTGTTCCTGGCTGCTGCTGAGACAGCTAATTAAATTCATGAGTTGCACCCATGATCCCTTTATCAAATGATTGCTAAGCCACACTCACAGTGTTCTCTTCAGAAGCTTCCTCATTTCCTGCAATATGAGTGGGCTGAGAATTTTCCAAATCTTCAAGTTCTGGTTCCTTTTTGCTTAGCAATTCCTTCAATTTATCTCTCCTCTTGCATTTTACCATAAGTGGTAAGGAGAAACCAATCCTCTCCAATACTTTGCTTAAAAGTTTCCTCAGCTAAACATCCAAATTCATTACTTGCAAGTTCTACCTTCCATAAAACACTAGAAACCAACTCAGTCAAGTTTTTTGCTACTTTACAATGATCAACTTTCTTCCAGTTTCCGATAACCTGTTCCTCATTTCCATCTAAGACCTCACCAAAATCACCTTTACGTCCGTATTTCTACCAAGTCTCTTCAGCATGATCTATGCTATTTCTAGCACGCACCTCAAAACTCTTCTGGCCTTTACCCATCACTCAGTTCTGAAACCACTTCAATGTTTTTAGGTATTCAGAATAACAGCATCCTACTCCACAACATCAAAATCTGTATATTAGTCTGTTGGCTGGCATAACAGAATACCACAGATTAAGTGGCTTAAACAACAAAAATTTATTTTCTCATAGATCTGGATGCTATGAGTCCAACATCAAGGTGCAGACGTGGTCAGGTTCTGGTGAGAGCTCTCTTGCTGGCTTGCAGACGGCTGCCTCTCACACAGCCTTTCTTCCATGTGTGCATGAGGGGAGAGAGAGAGTGAGAGAGAGAGAGTGTGGGCACATGCTCTAGTGTCTCTTTCTCTTCTTGTAAGAACAGCAGCCCTATCAGTTAGGGCTTTACCCTTTTGACCTCATTTAACTGTAATTACCTCCTTAAAGGCCCTATCTCCAAAGACAGTCACATTGGGGTTAGAGTTTCAATACATAAGTTTTTGGGGGGTCACAATTCAATTCATAGCACATACATACATATATATATATATGTGTGTGTGTGTGTGTGTGTGTGTGTGTATATATATATACAAGCACATATGTACAGACTGACACAAATACAGAGCTTATAGATTCAAATCTAAAATTTCAGTTATGAGTCACACATAAACACAGAAATACAAAGCTCACTGGTTTATGGAAAAGGACTGGCTCTTATCTTTGCTCCAGCTTTATATTATTTACCAGGATTGTGTTTCTGGCAGATGGGACAATTTGATATTACCTGCTCAATATAAAGTTTGAAGAATCTTCACTAACATTTGT